TAGATAGATTAATGTGAACAGATAAATAGATAAGTTAATGTGAATGAAATATATATATATATATATATATATACACACAAACACACACACACATAGAGTGTCAATAAAGTCACTATAATGTTACTTACAGTAACAATTAAGACAAAGCAATTAATCAACAGTACAGAAATTTATTATTAAAATAGTTTTGATTAATTCTGGTTAATAACAATAACATGCGATGGTAAAGAATAATAAATTGATTACCGATACTGTTCGAACTGAGGTAAGTTATAGCTTTTCAAAAAACATAGATAATTACATATCCCAACATGACAATATTGTATTAAGCAGGCTCCCAAACAAAACACTAAAAATGATCCTACTTAAAGTCAGTGCAACTGCCGTAAAAACGCATTATATACAGAGCTAGCATCAAATCAGATGATGATGCGAAATATCACATTGGATCCACTGAGAATAGTTGGAAATCGCGTTTCTACCACCACAAAATGACACTGACCAACAGCAAATACAAAAACTGTACAATGCTTTCAAAATATTTTTAGCGATTAACAGGCAATAAGAAGAACCCAACCATTAATTGGAATATGCATGGTGCAGGTGAAGTTTGACTGTTTCATCAGAAACCTGGAAGCTTTCGGCAAGCTCAGCCCAGGTTTGACTGTTGTACTCCTCTATGAGTGCCTTCGGGGCATCATCATCCAGGACCAGTGGTCAGCTACTGCAGAGTTTATTACAAAGGGACAAATCTACCGACTAGAACATCTGGAACCAATGACTGGGGGTGCATTCACTCCCAGGAATATCCCCAAAGGCATTCATGAATTTGGTGACGATGCACCTGGAGACAAGCCCACCTTAAAGACATAAACCAAACAAGCTGCTTCACTGATGCTCATTCTATGACTAATGCATTTGCATTAGTCAAGAGCAATGTCCCCACCACTTTCCTGGGCATGTGACACACTCATTTGCGTAACAGTGATCACGTCTTCCGAACGATCTGATTCGCCATGTTTACTCAAGCTATGGCCTATCTGTTTGCGCCACACACATGCATTGGTCAAGAGCAATGCCTCTACGCCACCTCCACCACTTTTCCGTCACATGACGAACTCATTAATCACTTTGTCCCACAGAACATAAAAGGACATTTCTGGTTACCTTATACAGACATATATGTTAATAATACTGTTGTGACCAAAGAAATGAATGAAGAAAATAACAAAACAAGTGTTGCAGATCTCTATCTATAAAAGGCAGGATGCGTGTGCGTGTGTGTGTGTGTAACGAATGCACGGCCGCAATTTTCGACGGAGTTGCACCAAAATTTTCATGCACATGCTCCAAGTTAGTGGGAAGGCCAAGATTGACTTTGCCTTTCCCAATCGATTTTTTCATGTTTCTATGGCAGTTTTCATGTAGTTTGCGGCCATTTTGTACTGGCCAGAGTGAGAGCCTATAGCTGGCTGCCACGAATAGGCAGGAAGATTCTATTGGCCAGCGTAAGAGCCAACAGCTGACTGACACGAATGTTAACTAGCATGCTAGCATGCATAAATATCCGATAGCTGCATTCGTCACAAGTGGGAAAAATTTAAATCCGCATGACACTTTACTCCAATTGGCTCATTCGCTTGCTTAAACTCAACGTTGATTCTGATTCCGCAGAACTGGGTTGGGTGTGAAAAAGTATTTGTTGCTAACATTCTTTTTTCATTCGGTTTTTCCAGTAACGAGTCCTTTTTAAAGCTGATCGTTTTGTGTTTATTTTGTTTAGTTCTTTTTTCGTAACAGATTTAATGTTTAGAAGAGAGCTTAGAAAAACTTCGCAGTGTGAGATAGGCAAGAAGTAAGGCATGTAGCAACATCAGCACGGCAAAGGGCACTCGTTTAAAGGCAAAGAAGGGCAAAAATATTTTAAGTCAAGTGATAGTGATTGCTGCATGAGTAGTACGATTTTTGAATCAAGCACGGGCAACGCCGGGCCATGCTGCTAGCATATATTAAACGGTAAGTACGACAAAAGAGTATTACACGACGAGTGAATGTGTGTCGGTTGACCCAGCGTTCAATCTATTCGACTGTTATATTTACCAGTCTCCCCATGAGGTAGGATGTGCCATAAGGCCGTGTTTAATGTGCGGCGATCCGAGCCCGTAGGCTCGGCCAATAATTTCCCATATACCCCATTTAAAACGGAGTCGGATAGATGTTTTTCTAGATGAGACTCTGCCCTTCGACATAGCCTCGTCAGGGGATCCACTCTGCCAGGAGGCAGAGAGTTTGACCAGCACAGCTGGAACAGATTTATTCGACTGTTAATAATTAACAGCAACACCCCCACCAGAGATATATGTGGCACAAGGCCGAGTTTAATGTAGGTCATCCGAACCCGTAAGATCGGCCAAAAATATTCCCTTAGAACCCGCATAAACGGGTTCAGGGCCTGTCTACCTCCCCGGACGAAACTTTGCCCTTCGGCAAAGCCTCGTCCGAGTTCCTGCCTGCCAAAGACAGAGAGTTCGACATCACAGTCCGAACAGATCTATTCAACTGTTAATATTTAACATCCCACCACGAGGGATCTATGTGGCATAAGGCCGAGTTTACCGTGGGTTATCCGAGCCCGTAGTCGCGTCCAAAAATATACCCTTAGAACACGTATAAACGAGTTCAGGATCTGTCTACCTCCCCAGACGAAACTTTGCCCTTCGGCACAGCCTCGTCCTGGTTCCGCTCTGCCTTGAGCAGAGAGTTCGACAATAATGAACAATATATTCGACAGTTAATATTTAAGTGGTGTATGTGACACAAGGCCGAGTTTATCGTGGGTTTTCCGAGGCTGTAGGCGCGGTCAAAAATATTCCCTTAGAACCCGCGTAAACGGGTTCAGGTCTGCCTACCGCCCCGGCCGGACGAAACTTTGCCCTGCGGCACAGCCTCGTACGGGTTCCTCTCTGCCCAAAGACACACAAAGTTCGACAACAGATGCGAACATTCACAGCCCGGTAGGACAATCTATGCGACTGTTAATATTTAACAGCCACCCCCACGTGGAATGTATGCGGCACAAGGTCGCGTTTACCGTGGGTTTTCCGAGCGGATAAGCGGATTCAGGGCCTTTCTACCTCCCTGGACGAAACTTGCCCTTCGGCAAAGCTTCATCCGGGTTCCTCTCTGCCGACGCAGTGTTCGACAGTTACGAACTGTCTGGTCGACTGTTATAATTAACAGTCCCCCCCACAAGGAATGTACGTGGCACAAGGCCGAGATTGACGTGGGTTTCTCCGAGCCCGTAGGCTCGGCCAAAAATATTCCCATTGATCCCGCCTAGACGTGTTCAGGGACAGTCTACCCCCTCCCCGGACGAAACTTTGCCCTGCGGTAAAGCCTCGTCAGAGTTCCTCTCTGCCGAGGCAGAGAGTTCGACAGCAATGAACAGTCTTGTCGACTGTTCCCCCAAAGCCTTCTCTCCTACTAATTTTATAGTAGGCGGAAGAGTCCAACATAGACACTTTAGAGGGAGGACACCACAACACATATTATTTATATATAATATTATTAATTGAATTAATGCTTATATATACAGGGTGATTGAAAATTAACCCCCTATTTTATATATGATAGACTCTCCAGTCTAACTATAATTTTTACAAGATGGGAGATTCCATCATACATAAAATAGGGAGTTACTTATCAATAAGCTTGGGTATAGAGAGTCTGCCAAAAATATATATACACTCTTCAGGAAAGGAAAAACTTGACTTTTGTAGTTTTTATCAAATTTCAATAACACTCTTTACTGTAGTCCGATATTTAAATGGTTTAACACCTACAGACTTTTACCTCTAGAGGTGTTGTGCATCGCAGAAAAGCGATTACATCGGCGGTGCTTACACAAGAAATTGAAAATGCATGTGCAGCAATCCTACTGGACACTTTGGCCCAAGAAGTAGGTCACCGTGTAATAACTGTCTGGAGGGTAAAGGCCACCATTTTGAATATGTCTTTTGATTGTAGAGACCCAAGGTAATTTGCATTAATCTTGTGATGCCAGACATAAATTTAGTATTACAATGTCTATTCATGTACCGAGCAACCTCGGTTCTCGAACGTCTCACTTGTCGAACAAATCGGTTTTCGAAGAGAAAATTCGAGATAAAAATGCCTCGGTTATCGAAAAAATTTCGGTTTTCGAACAGCATTGACGAACCGAGCGAACACAAACGCCATCATTTCTGAGTCGACCGCCGAGTTTTATACATTCGTGTGCTGTGACGCGCTTTTCTTTTCCAATTTTATTGCACTGTGACTTTTCTTTCTCTACATTGATTTCTATTGGAAAAATAGTTTCGGTTTACGAACATTTCGGGTTACGAACAACCTTCAGGGACGAATTAAATTCGTGAACCGAGGTTCCACTGTATTCCGAAGTGTGTACACATCTACGAAATCTCTCTCTCTCTCTCTCTCTCTGTCTATATATTTTATATATATATATATATATATACATATATATATATATAATTGCAAAGAGAATATAGATCCAGGGAGCTCATTGTAAGAACAGAGCAGATGATAATTATGAAAGCGGAAACTTTACAAACCCATGGTAATATTTTGTTTCGTTAAAACAGATACTTCGGTTTTATCTCGTCAGACCAAAGGCTGTCTCCACAATGAATGGATTTAAAATTTTACCAGGCACAAAACAAATAATTTAAACATAAATTTTGTTTAAGTATGTAGATTCAAAATGGGGGAAGGGAAAAAGGAAGAAAGAGAAAGGAGGGAGGAAAAGAGGTATATGTATTCATAATGGGGAAAGGGAAAAAGAAAGAAAAAGGAGGGAGGAAAAGAGGGATACGTATTTAAAATGGGGGAAGGGAAAGAGGAAGAAAGAGAAAGGAGGGTGGAAAAGACGGATACGTATTCAAAATGGAGAAAGGGAAAAGGAAGAAAGAAAAGGGAGGGAGGAAAGGAGGTATATGTAT